AACTTTTGACTTTCATGCATGTAAAAGTTCGTTGCTAACAAATATACATTAAACGTCACAATTAAAATAATAATAAAAGCATAGGATAGCTCTACTAAGTCACTACATGTAAAATGTATTTTAAAATTTAATATGTTGTTTATTGATGTTGGTTTATCATTTAAACAATCAGTTATTTTAACATCATAGGCGTTCTGAGATTTTTTTTTGTGTGTTTTCAAATTAAATTAAAATATATCTTGTTTACATTTTTGACAATAACCCCCTCTGTGGCTCAGTGGTAAGAGCGCCTACCTTTGAACCTAAAGGTCGTAAGTTCGAATCTCACCTGGGTGGAAATTTTCGTTTATTAAAAAAATTAATAAATGAAAATAATTTCTATCCTTGTGCGATCGGTACTCACCGGAGGGACCGCAGACGTTCGGATACAATTAGCGTCTCTTAGCAAAGACAATTACGTCGACTTTGCCAAGTATCAAGACAATTACTCTACACACACACACTACACACCTGACTGTAAAAATTCACTGTACCATGCCAATGACCATTAGTTGTCGACGCATTAAACTCAATAAAAAAAATTCATCTTTTCAAATCTTCTCCATTATTTATTGCATTATTATTCTTTTTAATTTGTATAGACTCTAGGAGCTTCCTCTTCTTCTTAGTATGTTCACTTTTTAGGATCATGGTTTTTTTAAAATCAAATTTATGTTTCTTTTCGTTTTCATGTTTAGTGAGGGTGATTGAGCTTTTTTTGTCATTGGGCATATTGAACAAACCAGTCAGCTACTTAACTCAAGACGACATGCTCACAAATACGACAAAAAAAAAACTCAACCGCCCTCACAAAACATGAAAACGAAAAGAAACATAAATTTGATTTTGACAAACCCAAGATCCTAAAAAGCTAATATAACAGGAAGAAGAGGGAGCTCCTAGAGTCTATACAAATCAAAAAGAATCAAAAAGAAGTTTTTCTTTTAAACCTTATAATGTCTTTGATAAATTTTTTTAGTCAATATTATTTCTTGAAAAAGGTATGGATTTTCTGCAGAAATCTAGAAAAAAGTAAATAAAAATGTCTTAGTATCATGACAATCTGTTTTATGAACTTAAGCCCAAGAAAATCTACTTCCTCTTTTAATATCTACAAAAAAAAAACGCTAGGTATACACAAACTTATATTAAACAAAAGAATGGAATATATTCTGCAGTACAATATATGGTGTTCTATAAATAAAAATAAGAAAATTTTTGTAGTTGAAAGCAGTGATTACTCTGCATATTGTATTACTACATTTCAAAGATATGTTTTAAAAATAACACTATTACAAACTTTTCAAATTATTAAAAAGTGTTTTAAAAATGCTTCAATATACAGGGTATTTTATTTTAAAAAACACAACTTTAATTTATTCTGTTGTTCCGACTGGCTCTGTATAATCGGAAATAACTTTAAATTATAGACGTCTTTGGTATTATTTTCTTTTTAAACATTTTTTATTCTGATAATAGAAAACACATTCAGTGAACAAACCATTAACGACAAATATACATTTGTGGCTGAAGAGAGAAATGCGAAAAGCTTAATAGACTATATAGTCTATACGAGAAACCTAGAAAAAATATAAAAACCATCTTAACGGAAAAGGAACCGGAACCGTCTACACAACATAGAATGGTCACTGCAAAACTGGAGGATGAAAAAATAGAGGAAGTGGAAAGAAAAGAGTATAAGAAAGTAAATGTAAATAAACTAGAGATAGAAAGTGTGCGAGAATTGTACACGGAGGAAACTAACAAAAGACTGAGACAAATAGAGGGCCAAAAAGAAACATGGACAATGGAAGAAAGATGGAATACTTACAGTGAAGTATTAAAGACAAGAGCAACTGAAGTGTGTGGAATAAAAAAATATAATAAACAATTGAAAAGGACAAGATGGTGAATAAAGAAGTGAAGACAGAAATAAAAAAGAAGAAAATAGCATGGAAAAAATACATTGAAACGGGATTAGAAGAAGATAAAGAAAAATACTATAGGCAGAGACGATTGGTAAGAAAGACAGTTACACAAGCAGAAGCAAAAATATGGAAAGAATTTGGAGAAGAACTTCAGGAAGAACATATAACAAATAATAGAAACTTTTGGACAACAATACGACACATAAGGCAAGGAGGACGAAAGAAAATAAACGCAGTAAGAGATACTTCAAACCAAATACAAATAAGCCCAGAACAAGTAGCTAGGGTATGGAAAGAATATTATGAGAAAAAATTTGATGCCGAAGTAATAAATGAAGACAATATAAACAATGAAGGCGAAGAAAACACAGAGCTAGAGCAAATAAGTAGAAAAGAAGTAATAGAAGGATTATCAAATATAAAAATAGGCAAGGCAGGTGGAGACGATGAAATTGAACCGGAAATGGTAAAATACATGGGAGAAGAAGGAATAAACTGGCTATGGAAAATATATAAAGAGGCGTGGGAAAAACAAACAATACCTAAAGACTGGCAGAAGAATATCATCGTGCCAATATACAAAAAAGGAGAACATGTAAACTGCGACAACTTTAGAGCAATATGTCTGTCATCGGTATGTTTTAAAATATATACGAAAATAATAGAGAAGAGACTGAGACAAGACGTAGAAATGGTATTGGGAGAAGAACAAACGGCATTTAGACCGGAAAGACCGACAAATGACAACATATATATCATTAGAAACCTAATAGAAAGAAGCATAGATACGGGCGAAAAACTAGTATTAGCATTCATAAACCTAAGAGCAGCATTTGACACGATAGAAAGACATATTATAGGGAAATGCTTGAGAAAAATAAATGTACCTAATGCATTGATAAAAATTATAGAAAGTACTTATAAAGAGGTAAAAGGAAGGGTACAAATAACAGGGGAAAGATCGGAAGCATCTAATTGGAAGAGAGGTATTAAACAAGGAGATAGTCTCAGCCCTTTGCTATTCATAATAGTAATGAACGAATTGTTAAGAAACACTAAAATCAGAACCAATCAACTACAGACAATAATAGGTTACCACAGATTACAACCGGTAACAATAGAGTCCTTAATGTATGCAGACGACATAGTACTAATAGCAGATTCCGAGAATAAAATGCAGAAATTAATGAATATATGGATAAAACAAATAGAAGAACTAAAAATGGAGATAAACGAGAAAACAAGTAAGATAATGATAATCAGCGGCAAAGGAGATCAGGAAGATAATCAAATAAAGATAAAATGTAAAAACTTAGAATTGGAAATAGTATCAACTTACGAATACCTGGGAAGTATAATAACTAATGATGGAAAAATAGACTGGGAAATAACAAATAGAGCAAAGAAATCAAACAAGTTATACTATGCGTTAGCCCCAATAATGGGAAAAAGAGAACTTACACGAGAAACAAGAATAAAAATATATAACACAATAGTAATACCGACTGTGCTCTATGCAAGTGAAAACTGGACAATTCTGGAAAAACATAAGAGCAGGATAAACGCAATGGAGATGAGACATCTAAGAAGGATAGTTGGAAAGACAAAATGGGATAGGTTAAGCAACGAGACTATTAGAAGAATGGCCAACCAGGAACCGATAATGAACAAAATAACAAAGAGAGAAATGAACTGGTATGGGCATCTGACGAGGATGCAATCCAATAGAATAACAAAAAAAGTTTATGAAGCAAAAAATATCGGAAAAAGAAAAGGAGGCAGACCAAGAAAAAAATGGATACAGCAAGTAGTAGAGGCGGGAAAACTTAAACAAAAATTACTCGATGAATTGAAAATAATGGCAGGAAACAGAAAAGAATGGAAGAGGTGGGTAAATGAAAATTAAAATAGCTAGCCCAAATCCGACACCATGATAGGGTAAAAGGAAGGGGAGAAAGAAAGAAAGAACATTTTTTATATACTCCATGATTTAGTCCTAATAAAAGAAACCTAGACGTTTGGCGTACCCTGTATTATATTTTTATTTCGCAAATATTTATTATAAACTTTTAATGAAATATCGTTTTGAGAAATCTTAAATCACATGTCATGATCTCTATCTTTAAATTGCAGAAAAAAGTGCTAGGATTATTGCTCGGACATTGTAACCACACTTAAATTATTGCTATTATAATATCATGTATAAAAAGTTCGGAAGTTAACTTTAAAAGGAGAGGTGTAGAAAACAAATCTAATGTTAATTAAAAATTATCATCAATATTGAAATAGTACACAGTTTTTCCTAAAAAAAGTATGCTTGAAAGTTGACAATTACTTTATTGGTGTGAGTTCTAATAAGCATAAACATTTTTAAAAACATTAAAAATTTGACATATTTTAGTTTTTATAAAAGACAATTTTATTAAAAACATAAATCCAATAGGTTTTTTTGGTTGTTGACAAAAAATATATTTATAATCGATATAAGATAATAATTTTGTTATCAAGTAATAAAATTAATATGTAAAATTTATGAAAAGTAAAATCTGATCTTTTATAGTAATTTAACCCTTAATTATTTTGAAAAAGTACAAAAATTTGATACCTCATGTATGTCGTATTGACATACATGTTGCTTTATGATTTGTAATTTAGGTACATACACTGTATATACCAAGAACAGACTTTGTTTTTTGGTCTCTTTATGTAGCCTACAGGTTGCATTTGTGTAATTTAACTCATATGGCCTAGCAATTTTTGCAAAGGGAAAAACTTGAGTTATTTCTACAATATTATCAGTAAAACATACCAAATATAGTGATCAGTTAAATTTCAAGATATATCCTAGTAATATAATCAATAAGATACTGATTTTTAGTCATAAAATGACAATATTTCATTTTTTATTCAGTAACCACAAAAGCATTTCTTTATAAACTGCTAGAGCAATCATTTTCAATTGACTGTCGTAATGGCAATTCAATTATTAGAAAAACATCGTTACTAAGACTTGAATCAATTTTACAAACTCACCAAAAATTGTTTCTCTCAAAAATCATCGCCTGGCAAATATTGAATAAAAGTATGAGATCCCGAGACTCGTCGCGGCGCGTCTTTCCCTATCGACAGCGGCGCCTGAACTGACCCGAGCCCTGAATTCCACCGCGCACGCGCTTTACCGCATTGTTTATTATTTCATTTCTTTTGCATGTCGAAATAACCTAATTGTGGTTTCGTGAGTTTGCTCTTTAATTTTTTTCTATTCTCTATTTCGAATATGCTGCGTTACAAGTGTTTCCTCTCGACGAATATGAGAATAAGAAACAGGGCCGGTCTGTTACGCAGTTGTAAGTAATTAAATCAAACATAATTCGATTACACTGTTTCCTGTTAAATAATATTATCTTTTGTAAAATCTTTTAACTAGGGATCAAGAAACGAAAGAATGAAAAGGTTGGCTACCAAAATACCAATTAAATTTGTAATTAATCTTTGCCATATTTCTATTCAGAATAATTAGATTATATTTGAAGAAGGGATTCATTGATTCAGAAATTTCATAATTCCATTCGAAAGTGAATAAATTTTAGAGATAAAGAAATTTTTGGTTGAAAAAAATGTAAAGTAAATCCTAATAAAATTGGAAGGGCAATGGTCATTGTTCGAAAGCCATGACAATATCCAAATAAAATATTCTATTTTCGTAATGGAAATAAAATACTTAAAGCTTTGTAGATGTTTACTTAATCAGTCATCACGTTAGTTAATGACGGACATGTTTTTAGCCTAAAGTATTTAGATATTATGAGGTTTATATTTGCTACTATAAATGCTATAAGGTAGTAGAATAAAGGCGCCTTGTCTCATATGGCCTTGGAACTACTTTTATGATCTAAGCATATGACTATGACAGCTTCAAGAAGACCATGACCAACTTCAGGTCACTTAACGAACAGAGGTTAAGCACATTGTAATATATAAGATTTCAAGTAAAACTTAAAAAGAATAAAAGTATATTATTTCATAATAACAAACATAAGACATGGTTTAAAACAATTAAATAGATGATAAATAAAAATCTTAATAATGGAGAGTAGCTTCAAGCCGCCGAAAAACCTGGTGTTTGACCGCAATGTCCACGTGAATTTGGATAATTTTTTAAGAAGCTTGGATATTTATTTGAAGGAGACCGGTTTGAGCAAAAAAGACGATGAAACCACAGTGGCAATATTACTAAACCATGCCGGTGAAGAAGCCCAGAAAAAGTTCGAGACATTTAAGTTGTCAGATTCAGACCAAAAAATATTTAAGAGAGTTGTTGGGCCTTTTAAAACCATTGTAAGCTAATGAGGAACGAGACTTACGATAGATACAAGTTTTCACAAGAATTCAGCAAGAAGGTAAGAGTTTTGATCATTACATCACCGACATAAAAACCCTTGCGTCTCCTTACAACTTTGGGGACCTGGAAGTTTCTTAATAAGAGTTAAGATTGTAAGTGGCATAAGAGACTTGTCCTTACAAGAAAGATTCCTTCGTGAAACTAATCTAACTTTAAAAAAGGCGGAAGAGTATAGCAGAGCCGCTGAAATAAGTTCAATTCAAGTAAAAGAAATAAGAAATGACAAGGAAGTGAATTTTGTAAGATATAGTAACAAGAAATCAATGGAACACAGTAGTAATAGACAGAGTGTTGATGTATACAAATGTTTCAAATGTGGAATAAACTATTGTAAAATGAACTGTCCAGCGTATGGAAAAAACTGTCAAAATTGTGGAAAACTTAATAATTATGCAGTAGGTTGTTTTAATAAAAAACATGGTCAGGTAGAATCAAATACAGACGTTTTTAAGGCGTTATTAGAATATAGGAACACTCCTTTAGCAGGGTGCAATATTTCGCCTGCAGAATTGATTTTTAAGAAACAGTTGCGTAGTATCCATCCCCTTTCAGGTAATCATTCGGAACCATCCTTGAATAGCAAGTCACAAAAACTAGCTGAAAAAAAGAACAAGGATAAGATTAATTACGATCAGAGTTCGAAAGGTAGGTCAGAATTTAAGGTAGGTGATGGCGTAATAATAATAATAAGTTAGAAAAGGAGAAACACTGGATACCAGGGAAATTGTAGGGAAATGTGATGCTTCTAGGTCGTATATGGTTTAGGATAACTTTGGCAGGGTAACGAGACGAAATACTTCATTTTTAAGACCATCACCAAATGAATGTCCTTCCATTCAGAAAGAATATATGTCTCCACTCATTAGGTCTGAACCTAGCTCCTCACAAACAAGGTTAAATATTAATGATAATAACAATAATAACTTTAAGCCTGAGATTTGTTCAAATGAATCAACTGTTTTAACCAAAATTGTGTCTAGTAACTTGAATTGTAACAGTAACCTAAATTTAGGTATTAATAGTAAGCCAGTTACAACAAGGTCTGGTAGAGCTGTTGTAAAACCAGCTAGGTATAAAGATTAGTTATAAGTTAGACATAGCTTTCATAGATGTATTCCTAGAGCATAGTCAGAATAGTTATTTTTGTTTCTCAGTTGTAGTTTTGTTAAAAAAGTGTATAAGGGGAAGATGTCTCATATGGCCTTGGAACTACTTTTATGTTCTAAGCATATGACTATGCCAGCTTCAAGAAGACCATGACCAACTTCAGGTCACTTAACGAACATAGGTAAAGCACATTGTAATATGTAAGATTTCAAGTAAAACTTAAAAAGAATAAAAGTATATTATTTCATAATAACAAACATAAGACACGCCTTATTTCGGGTAGCTTTTTGTTTGTACTTATCGATTTTGAATAACTATATTTTGATACACAAAACAAAACTGTACTGACGGCCCAGATATTATAAAATGTGAGGTAGAACACGCTATAAATAATGCTAAAATTAGAAAAGCTTGTGGTCCAGATGATTACACCAACTAAGTTGCTGAAACTAATAGACAATGATAACATAAAACTAATATCAAGACTTTTAATTCAATATATAACACCGGAGTAATTTCCACAGATTGGCTTAAATCCATCTTTTTCGCAATACCTAAAAAACACAATGCGAGAGAATGCTCAGAATATCGATTAATTAGCCTAATGAACCACACTCTTAAAATTTTTTTAAGAATACTTCAAAACAGAATTAGACGAAAATGCGAAGAAGATCTTGAAGATACCCAATTTGGTTTTAGATATGCTATAGGAACCAGGGAGGCACTTTTTGCGCTTAACATCCTATTACAAAAATGTTGGGACCAAAGAAAATATGTATTTGCCTGTTTCGTGGACTTCGAAAAGGCATTCGATAAAGTAGAGCATGTAAAATTAATGAATATTCGTGTCATTAAAAATTTGTAATGGAATCAAACTGCTATCATAAAAATTGTAGATAACTATACCGATAAAATCTCTATACAACGAGGAGTCAGACAAATGTAGGACAATTATTCCATATTGCAAAAGATCGAGAAGTCTTTGCAATGGTGATCGCCAACGTTAGAGAATTCTGATATGGCATGCGAAGAAGAAGAATATTTTGATGTGTTATTACTCAAGGAGCAAGTATATGCACGGTAAATCTAAACAGTATAAACAATTAGGATGTTTGTTAGAAAGGAGCAGCATAAAATAAAAATTTTAAAAATGTTCAAATTGGATGTATTAAAAATTGGTCGCCTAATTCCGGACATCCTGGTGTTCTTATTTCGGATACAGATTTAAGTAAAAAAAATACAAACAACACTAGGAACTCCAAGATTTCCTACTTGGCGAAACTAAATTCAAATTTTTCCCACTGTGCTTTCTAAAACTTGTAAAGCAGACATATTGATAAATTGGTCTACAAAGGAATCAATAATTTGCATTCCACATGCCTTTCATCACGTTCATCTTAGTGAATTTAGTTTTTGGTACTCGAAACAGAGTAAAGAAATAAAACAGAAAGACGGTATTAGACTGATTTTTGATGTAGTGCATCCGCAAACCGCTTATACATACGTATTTTAATCTCATTAGGTCTCATCAGAGCGACAAATGCAGTTGCTGCTGCAGAAAATAGAAACATTAAGAACATGATTAACTGATGAACATGAAAAATTAAATCAACCTTTATTTTTCCAAACAAAAACCGCATATATAGGTTTTTATTTTACAACTATTGATATAATCCTCATGCTGCTATCGTTGAGCAAACTTGATCTACCCTTCTCCTTTGGTATCCTCAATAAAAAATCTACAGCAAAACAAACATTCTGCGTCATCATCACTAGCATCTATGTCAGAGTCGTCACCTAGAATAATAGAATCCTCTTCAGAGTTTCTCGGCGTGTCCAAGTCTCCAACTTTCCACTTAACTGACTTGGTATTTCCTAATGTAGCTTTGCCCTTATTTTTAGGTGCCTTGTACTTTTTTCCAATCTTTTGTTTTTTTCTAATTCCTCCTATCTTTCCTTTTCTTTTATGCTAATTTCAAGTTCGTATATGACGTGCTGGTTATTACATAACTTAAACCATACTGTGTCTTTCTTTCTTATTACCCAGATCTACATTTGATCCATGTTACATTGAACAAGATGATGTTCCATTTCTGTTCCACTCTCTGATGGAACAATATCTTCAGATCTCCTTTATTTGTTGCTTTGGGCATTCCTATCTCTTGCAAATTTTCCAAACATGCTGTCTCTTTATTTTTTCTAGTGTTCTTTTCATGCATTTCATAAATATTTCTAATTCATCGGGTATTTCTTTGAATTGGTAGACTTCTCTCTCTTTGGATATTCTCCACACATAAGTAGACTTATTTGGAAAGATGTTATATTGCGATTTGGATTATATCTAAGCCATGATTGTATTTCCTGGACCATAATGTTTGAAAAGGGAATATAAATGTCAAATCCAAAGGCTGCAACCTATAATAACTATAAGGAGAAAGGCATAAAATCGTCAAATGATTAGACCTAGCTGTTAAAATCAGTTCAAGATTCCTTGTATAACTGTAGTGTCCATCCTAAACAGGCGCTACAGGATCATCTTCTGTTGGTTTAACATACGAAATAAAACGTTAAATCCACTGTGTGAATAAATGTTGTTGAATCCAATCTGATGGATGACATGCTGCTATGGATCC